ATAATTCCATATAGATTATGATTCTAGTTCAGTAATCTGACTTTTAATGGTATTATTTCGGAATTTCCCCAGCACTTACCATAATGCCAAATAAAGAATATCATATTTTCGAACTGATTTTTAACAGAAAACATCCTTAATATTGTTAACTGTAACCAAATGCGTTGTAAAATATTACAGATATTTGCGGTAAAATGTCGTAAAGTTAATCACTTATTGTTCGGAATTTACGTTATTTTGGTAGAATACGAAACATTTCTTAACTAATTAAATTGTTATTTCTCGAAAATATGACTTCTACTTTCTAAATCATTAAGTTTGGCTAAACATAGTAAACTAATAGGTTATGTGAAGGTATTTTTTATCTATTTTCAATTTAATATTTGAATTTTAATATACATATATCAATGTTATTTTAGCAACGTATGCATCGTTACAACTTACACTTTCAACAATAAATATACAAACAATTTTCTAGAAGCGTTTTTTTTTAAGCACAAATCTGCAAAATGTGATATTTGTTGTCGTGCCAACCACAAGTATTGAATCCTGAATTTTACCATTATAAGCCCCTTAAACTTACCGGTGAGCAACTGGGAGCTTCTAGAACTCCGCCCAAGTCTTTCAACTGATACAAAAGGTGGGTATTTGTAATTTTTCTTTTCTTTTTTTTGTAAACTTGTTCATAGTAAAAAAAATTCACGAAAGAAATAAAAAGATCAGTTACCAAAAGTTAATATTAAAGTTAGTACTCAAGTGGTAGTACCTCATTGTAATACATGGAAAAAATGTTTTCGGTTTCGGGTCAAATGGGTGAGCAGAAAAAATGGCAAACGTTTGTATTTTTCTCCGAAAGAGGTTGATGTTCTGTACAAAAAAGTTTTTGAACAATCAAATAAAGTTAATATGAAAAGTAATTTACCATAACGAACACTTTAAATATAAAATAATTTCAAGTACATTATGACAAAGGACGGGTACATCAGCTTGTTTACTATAATGCCAAGTACAGAATTTTGATTGTTCGAACAGTTGGTAATAGAAATACATTGTCACGCAGTACTTTATAATAAATCAAAATATCTAAGCAACACAAGTTTTGGAGGGGTCTACATTTTGCACTTTTGTTTCAAAACAAAGCCACATTGGGCTATCAAACCCTGAATTTAGCGTTATAAATCCGCAATCTTACCGCTGTCCCACCAGACAAAACGTTTGAACATAATAAGACAAAACGACAGAGTAATGTCAAAATGATGTAGGAGATGAACTTTGACTAGTGTTTCTATCTCTGTTTTACTCTTGTTACATGTTTTGTAATGTATAAAATGAATTTCCTTCATCTGGGCATACCCTTGTTTCTGCTGACTCCATTCACCTGAAATTGTTGTTTAAAAAGTTCTGTTTTTTTAAAATTTATTTTAATTAACTTTGATAGTTGCCTTTGTTGGTCTTTGATCTTAACAGGTTTTCTTTTCATCAAACTTTTCAATTTGTATTTTTAAGAAGTTGAAATGTTACAATAAATTAATTGGCTTCATATTCACAAAACTTTAAAATGTTTCAAATAAAATGTGTTGATTAGTTTTAGGCTGCTAAGTGTATTTGCTCATTCTGCTCTTACATAAAATTATACAGAAGAACACTTCTAAACTAGAGAGTTGTGCAATAACTTTTTGTGAATAGAATTTGTTATATTTTTACTCTTCCAAATATGTTGCAACATTCAATACGACGCTGTACGTTTTCTATCAGATGGGTAAAGTTATCTGATGAAACACATTATAATACCGTGATGCTGAAATTTCGTGTTAGAATATCTAAAAAACAACAACATTGTTCCCCAGTTTTAACATGGCAACGTCCAGAGTTTGTTTGTATATTTAATAAAGTTTTGTTCTAATTTGGTAGACTAGTTACTGACAACATGTTAAGAATACGTTTGAGGTGTTCTTGAACATTAAATAAAATGATCCCTCAAAAGTTGCATCATATCTTGTGAACTAATATGTTTAATAGGCCTGTTTATTTTTTATTTGTGAATGATGATGATGATGAATATTTTTGTTGAAGGCGAAACGTAATTTTCTTCATATACCTAATACACGCTTTCCTTCTCTGAATTATCAGAACAAAATTATTTGTAAAATGAAAAAACTTCATCCTCTCTCTGGCAACTGAAAAGAAATCCTACACCAACGGGAAGCTTTGCTGAAAGAATGAAACGTGTTGGTATAAGATTCATTTTAACGAGAATCTTTGCTGAAAGAATGAAACGTGTTGGTATAAGATTCATTTTAACGGGAAGCTTTGCTGAAAGAATGAAACGTGTTGGTATAAGATTCATTTTAACGAGAATCTTTGCTGAAAGAATGAAACGTGTTGGAATAAGATTCATTTTAACGGGAAGCTTTGCTGAAAGAATGAAACGTGTTGGTATAAGATTCATTTTAACGGGAAGCTTTGCTGAAAGAATGAAACGTGTTGGTATAAGATTCATTTTAAGTTGCTCGATAGAAGTTAAAATTGTTTCAGAAAATTAGAGAAATGCTCAAGTTTCCCTATCAAGTATATTAAATTGTTTCTATTTTCCAAAATACTTTAACCGGAAAGAAAGATGAAACTAACTAAGATTGATATTAATATACCTTCTCTGATAAAGCAACAACAACATGGAAATTATTGTCTAGACTAGAAAATTTCAGGATATTCAGAGAGATTCGTAAGTAGTCCATTAGAACTAGATGTCGCAACAACTTACCTCGAGTGTACGTGTAGCATGGTGAGAAAGTAGGGCAACATTTTTGTTGTTCTAACAGCTTTCTAGTTCTACAGTTAATTCTTTCAAATACGTAGAGATAAAAAAATTCTGAATCTCATAAACGGCATTTTTAGCAGATGGCGTTTAGTAAAACAAAAACTGAATGCATCTCGACTTTGATAGTGGAAATAAGAACAAAAATAATACAACAAGAACAAATCTAACGGCTTCAGAATCCAATGTTCCATTTTGTTTAAGGGTTTTGGGTGCTCAAGAAGAAAGCTGTAAAGAGAACCATTGAATAATGACGCAAAAGTTTCCCAGAATCAGACGTTTATATTTATTTTCCTTAAGTTTGCGTGAGATATATATATAACAATTACGAGTTTTAAAACTACAAATACAACATCTGTTGGTATAATAAGTGAGCATGAAGGATTTTATCCGGTGATTGATCTCTCTTCACTATGTTGGTTTGATCTACAAGGTTTCCTCTTTTCTAATGCTCGAAAGAAGCAACTATTACCAATATATTACGAACACAATTCTGTGTTTTCTTCAGAAAAAGTACAAACGCCCTCTATAGTTTAGGTTTCATAGCTGTTTGGAATCTACGAAGTTCAATTAATTTTACTTTCGCAGCTCCAACATTTTAAACTACAGTTAGGCGCACGTAACTTCAACAGTTTGGCTTCTGTATAATTAATAATGAAACATGTCCACGACACTGATTTTATAAACTAATTAAGGATTTCACATTTCGTAAAAATGGAGGAATAAGGATAAGATAGATGAAAGGAAAGGAACATTTTAAAACGGGTTCGAATCTTGACAACGGACATGCTCGTCCTTGCAGTCGTGGGGGCGTTATAATGGGACGGCCAATCTCACTAATCATTGGTAAAGAGTAACTCAAGAGTTAGCGCTAGGGGGTGTTAACTGACTGTCTTCCCTCTAATCTATCATTTCAAAATTAGGGACGGCTAACGCTGGTAGCTTTCGAGTAGCTTTGTGCGAAATTCAACAAATGAAAAACAAAAACAAAGTTAACGTTTTACACCCACACTGAAATCAGTGAAACCATTCACATCTTCTTACACCTTCAACGATATTTTACAAATATTATGTATAGAACTGATGTTATTTTAGGCAAGTTTATGCATCTCAAGATTTCCACAATGACTCAGTGATCACAAAACACTGGGCAGATGAAAGTGGAAATTAAGAAAGCGCTAAAATTAATATTGTCCATACTTTTACATGTAAATAACTTACCTCTCACAAATACAAGTTTTTTTTCTTCATTTACAGGATTTGGTTCAGTGATTTCATTACGACAGTAAGTACCTACTAGATCCCAAGAGATGAAGTTAAATGAAAAACCAAAAAAAAAGTTGTTAGATTTTTTATTTCAAACTGATAAATATGGTTCTTTCGTTTGTATGGGCAGGGTGTGGTCTGGTTCTTAGTGTGACGTGCTGTGGATTAAAAGGTTTAAGGTTTCGAGCTTGCAATATGCCATTGAATACATTCCGCATTATCAACTGTGGGCGTATTGTATAACTGACAGTTCATCTAACTATTTGGTTGAGAAAAGCTGCATAAGTTACGAGTGCTGCTGATTGGTTGTCATCCCTCTAAATTCTAAATTAGGGATGATTAATTTTAAGTCTTGTGGTCCTTGACCTGGCCGTTTATCTCATGTGTTGTATAACGTGACATTTACATTGAAAATGCCAATATTTATTTCTTAGTTTTTAATATTCTTGCAATCACTGATATTCATATTATAATTACAGATATATATATTTACGTTTAAGAATATTATAGATCAGGATGTTAGAAGTTTTCATTGAAAACTTTATAACTTTTAAGTTTGTCAACCCAATGAAAATTAATTCTTGTCTTAGCACTAGTTGTAAAAACACACATATGTTTAGTGTTTAGCTCTTAAGTAGCTTGAGATTCTTAGCCTTGACAGTGCCAACAGCTGTTATGATAAAAATCAGCCTAAAACTTTACAGAATTTAGAATTTAAAAAATTAACAAACTACATATTACCAGTGCTTTAAATTATACATTGTTTGCGATTTCTTACATTTAAAAAAAGAAACACAAATAGACAGAAACAGATATATCTGAAGAGCCCAATTAACTAAGGTTTAATAAAAGAGTTTAAGTGTTTCTGGAATTTCAACTCTTTTGGAGCACATTTATCTTTAACATATCTCTAACATACCGAGACTAGGTATCCGTTGGTCAACAACCTCAGTACTGAAAAGCCCTTTTCCAGGCGTGCGGTCAAGGATGGTGCACGACTTGTTGAGATATTCTAGGTGATCTGTCACGTTTCCATGGTCACTCGCACGCGTATTTTAATAGATTCGCGCACTCAAACGTCACAGATGAGAATATTCCTCGAACTTTCAAAGAAGACGAGATAGGTCCAAGATCTCGTGGATCGAGTGTACCACCACCACCTGCCAGTACAGCAGACTTACACATTCCCATAAGAATAGTCCTCCGACGAGTGATGATGTCATATTCCACGTGACGCAACGTAAGTTCCAATTGGACAAGTCGTTCATTGGCCTATTTCTTAGTCAACCTGTTTGCTAAAAAAGGTAACGGAGGCTACAAGAGCAGCTAAGTGAGCAAGTAATGCCTGTTTTGGAAATGGTTAGAATTAGAGATAAATAACTCGAACAAATACGCGTCGATACAAAACCTGAATTATTTAGGAGGGGAAGTTGGAACAGAATTCCTCTCGTTGTTTAACGCCCTATATGTAACTGGCATGCCTTTATATAAACCACATGAAAGTGAAAAGATAAACCTCGGTTAATCAATTTTTTTCTTACCATCAGGGTAACATTGTTTGTTTTCGGGATTCGATAAAAAATTACAGACACTTCAAATACTTATAAACTATGAACCGCATAAAAAATGCGTAGTTTTTTTTTCGAGCTCGGGTTAAAGGTGGTAATTATATAAATATATTATCTATATTTATAAATAATTAATAATAAATGCTAATGTTTCTTCATTCTAATGCCTTCGATTCTTGTCGAAGTGTTAAGCAAATGAAATACTTTTGGTTGTACGTTTTGTTGTAATTATAAATATAAATTATTGGCATATCATTGTGACACCGGCCTGTCATTCGCTGAAATATGTCTGCAAATTTCCCACTCATCACAACAGAATTAAGACACATTTGTAGGCAATATGTAAACGCTAAACTTACCACACATTTGTAGGCAATATGTAAACGCTAAACTTACCTGAAACACTCCCTAACTAATGACGAGTTAAGCCTTGTTTGTTTGTTTGGTTATTTCGCACAAAGCTACATGATGGACTATCTTTTCTCTGCTCACTGCTGGTATCGAAACTCCGATTTTTAGCGTTATATGTTCTCAGACTTACCGCTGAATCACCGGGGGAAGGGGGCAAGTTAAGCCTTGAATGCAGCACAAACCGGTAAAGTTTTTAATGCCGAAAGGTTTCAACACCTGCCATGGTTTTTACACTTTAAGAGCAAGGACAATGTTTTCGGATAGCAGGATGAACATGTAGTGCTTCTGCAACTATGGTTTCATTAATTACTTGACTGACGAGTATGCAGGACCTACGAGATCCTTGACCTTAGACCTCTTAAGGAATAACTGCATGATAGACTTTAGCTTGCAATTATATGGCAGCAATGTCAATATTGTATAACCTGTTTTGAACTACAAGGTTCAGTATAAATAAGGTATCTGTAGATAAAAATTCGATTCGTCTCGTCGTATATCGGTACAAAAACTTACTATGTTATAACGCTAGGTTAAGCAGTCTTTGAAGTACATTTACCCTCTGGATTTACCGCATTGAGATATGTCTGTCCCAAAGCCTTTCATTACTACAAATAGCATTCGGTGGCGAAAGATGTTTTTAAAACACAAGTGTATCGATTTTATTTGAACCTATTTACCTGAATCAAATAATAATAAAAAAACACGTTAACTTTCTCAAAGTGTTCTTAAAAGTCTGTCCCAGTAAGCTTATATCAAACTAGTTCGACCTGATTTTTCAAAATAACCTGTTAAAAACCGGTATTACTTTATGGATTTTGGTACAAAAGTAAAAATTGAATTTCATTCCATTTAAATGAACTCTTACTGCACCAGTTAAAAAATAATAGCTAAGGCTGCTTGCTCTTTTCACTGACTGTTTTAACGTGATGAATCAACTTAAATACAAAACAAAACATTAATCAAGTCTAATCTTTCTTAGTATATTTTTCAATGATGTTTTAAAATCACTCTGTCAGTTTAAAAACATTCGCTAGTTAAGCCTGTTGACAAGAGATATACATTACATACTGAACACAAAGAGAAAGGCAAAACTTGAAAATGATGTCATTATCAATGTTTCTGATATCACTATTTCTCTCTCTCTTTTACACTTTGCATTTCGCTCAAAGTAAATACAATATTTCTGTATTCATTAATTTAAAAATCTTTTATAAATTTAAAAAATGTATATCTAACTTAATGGTGCGAGACACCAAACACTTCATCTATTTATTACATTAGTCATTTGTGTGTATTGTACAATATATATATATATATATATTTAAAACCCAGTAACTTTACGTGCATTCAATATATTAGTCTCATACATATATAGTTTCATTCTTTATTCTTCAGTTAGTATAAATACGTGATTTTTTACAACTTTAACCTTTTAAGAGAAGGATTGAATGATACGTTTAGTGTAGTTTTGTTGATATGTTGGGGATAGTTTCTGACGTTTGTGGATGAAAGGAGTAAAATATTTGAGATCTGTAAGATTGTTATCGTTAGCGGTTTTCTATATAAGTATAATAATACTGGTCTGTTGTATGTCCATGTAACTACTTCTAGAGTGTGAATGGATCTTCACCAAAATTGGTATAGAGGTCCATTAAGTCCATGTATTTTAAGTTTTGCATTTTGCGGTTTTTATAGGCGTTTTCGCTTTTCTTTTACCACTTCTTCGCTCACTTTTGATGGATCTTCACCAAATTTGGCATAAAGGTTTGTTGGGTCCATGTGGTAATACAGTTTTGCGTTTTGCAGTTTTTATGGGCGTTTTTTTACAATTATGTATAAGAGATGCAATTTTCCATGTCCTAAGATAACCTTTCATTAATCAAGAATTTACATAACTTCCGTCCAGGAGACGGGTACTCCAGCTAGTTCTGAATAATACAAATAAGCAAGCTTAATGAAAACTATCCGAAAATGTATATAGTCCAGATACTGGGAAACAAAAAAACTTCTTATAAACTTTCTAATTCTGTTATTGTATTACATGCAGAGCTTGTTACATAGTCAACATTGTTTTTAAGGTTTCCTTTAGCTCACCTTAAACCTGATATTAGTGTTAAGAAATGAGGAGATAATAATAAAAAGACTCAAACAGTCGTAATGTTCAAAGTTTCTTTTATATGACTAAGCTGTATAACACGGAGCTGGCTGATGATCTTTGGGGCTGTATTACACTGATAAGCTCATTAACAGTAACACGTTAAATACATTTTTCATAGGTTATTACAAAGTTCGGATTTTTAATTCACTGCTTTATATATATAAATGTATATAATTCTTTCATTAGGAGCTACTCTAGCTTTTTGGTGACTTTTCTCCAGTTATGCAGATATTTTAACATGTTGTATATTTATTTATCCCTATATTTTAAGCCTTTAATTCTATAGTGCAATTTGCGAGAAACTATTTCTTTGTAGTTCATGGTCGTTCATTGCTTAACTGTTAAGCCTTTTTACGCTGCGTTAGCTGTAGAAAGTTATAATGATGTACGAATGATCTTTCTGGGTCTGTAATTCCAAACAAACACAAAAGCCATTCGATGAAACAGAAATTTGATGGGAAATTGTGATGCAGTATAGGTGTTATAACTGAATATTTCTGATGAATAACAATTTGCAACAGTAAGATAGATATAGGTGGACAAATACTGGAAACACCTGATAGTATCAATAGATAAACCTAAAGTTGTCTGAGATACGTGGGGAAAAAACTGATAACTGATTGTTGTAACCTAGGTATGTATTTGGCTATATATCGCATTTCAATTTATTAAATAGCAAAAAGTTTTGTCCCGAAGCAATATACTGATTATCTTTAATACTTTTATAAGTTTCACATTAACATAGTAGTCATAATGACGGTACACAGACAGGCAAACGACCAACGAGATTTAGTACCGCAAACCAGATTTTATCCACATAGAAGAAAATGAACATTCATATCGCATGTCTAACACAGGAGTGAACACCCCAAAAAATAACAACACCCAATCCCATTCGGTTATTTGAAACCTCCTCTGTTGTTAGGTTATCATTACAATATGCTATTCATAAACGCAACTGCATAGTTTAAGTTCTTATGCCAAATTCTAATGTAAATTTCCTTCCAAGCAAGCGTCTTCCTTATTAAATATGGATGATTAAATGTGTATAGACATAGCATTAGGACAACGCAAAAAATTGTTTACGGTACTACTTACAAAGATAGCTCCAGGAATTAAAGTACATGTTTGGCTTGTCAGAAAGGACTATATCTTAAGGTATAACTAAACCCTCACACTGTGGAGGATAAGCTGGTTTAGCCTATAGGGGGCGTTGAAAACGCTGTGACTGTAAATATTATATCTAGGTTTAGAACATAACCACGACCTACCCTAAAAAATGAGGCAACTACCTCGATACTGTATCACAGAATGTCTAATAAACGAGAAAATTGCATAGATAGAAGAATGACTAGTTTATTCGATCGAATTGCAAAGTGTATATATCTATCGATTTCAGTATTGGTACTTCTATGTATTTTTATCGCACTTTTAATGTTTATTATGTTAAGAAAAAAATAGAGGCACAATTTCCTATCCTTTTTTTACATACATACATATAAATATATAGAATCTCTTGTTCTTTTAGCAACATTTCTAGGGCTCAAATTATTAGTGTTACTCATAATTAAGTTTTGAACTTCTCTCAACGATTCGTTTACAGAATAGTGTTGTAAGTCGTCATATACAATCAACCCTAAGTCAGTTGAGTTGAAGCCATCAGACTCGACAGACAAAGAAAGCTCTAACACAGGAACAATCATTACAACTGAGTTATGATAATAAATAATGATAAGCTTCTATGTAATCCTGTTAGACAGCTTGGTACTGTAAGGCTAAAATAAATGAAAAAGAATGACTTAAAGGAATGGTCTTCCTTTCGTACCCCCTTCCCGTATAATTTTGTCTTGAGGAATATGAAACTGATGGGATATGGTTTACAGTACAGTTTAAAACAAGACCATTTACCTCGTTTTCAAGTAATTTGGTTTCACTTCGCGTGTAATTATATCCTCAGGAATATGAAACTGATGGGATATGGTTTACAGTACTGTTTAAAACAAGACCATTTACCTCGTTTTCAAGTAATTTGGTGTCATTTCGCGTGTAATTCGGTCTTCAGAAATATTAAGCT